AGCCAGCCAGCCAGCCAGCCAACCAAATCACAGAGGTTTGTCTTTCCAAGGCTCAAAGTATGAGCCTTTATAGGCCTGCAATGCTCATGTGAAATAAGAGGCAAGCATTATTACACTCACACACCCCAAATTCTTCCACATCTCAGAATTTAATCCAAGCTGGAGAAATTATTCCTCTTCTTCTTCCACTAAGATGGTCCAAACCCTGCTTCTTCCCTTCAGTCTATTGCTAAACCCTCCCTCTTTCCTCCTACCCAGGCTCCTAGACTGGCAGTTCATGGGTGGCAACAGAAAGCCATAGCAGACCAAGAGAAGGAAGGGAAGATGTTTTCCCCTCTTTGGTACAATGAGCCCATGGTACTTTTCATTTTCCCAAGACAAGTGGGGTATTTGTAGGCAGACCAGGGGCCAATAAATTCATAGTGACTTCAGGCCTTCAGCTCTCCCTCAGCTTGATCTACCTTGCAGGGGTGGTTTTGGAGAATAAAGTGAGCACGAGAAGAATACCATATTTATGACTTAATTGGAGAAAGAATGAGATATAAATGGAACAGCTCAGTGTGTTGGCACTTTGGATGCAGAGCCAGAGGTTGGGAGTCTGATTCTTCACTGTGCATCCCAAGAGAAGAGCCAGCCTGGGCAGCCTTGGGCCAGCTGCACAGTCCCAGGGCGCCCCCTGGAGGAAAGGAATGGGAAACCACTTCTGGGTATTCTTATACCTAAAAAACCCTTACAAGGATCAGCCGTTAAGTCAGAACTGATTTAATGGCATGGAAATCTCATTAATTAATAAATGAGTGACAGTGGAGAGAGAAGATAGATTAATTAAGGTTTGCTCAAGGAAAAACCAAGGCATCTTCAGGCTTTAGGGGTGGACCAGGGTGAAAACATCCGGGCTTATATACCTGAACCCATTTGGCACTAACTCTACATTTTCCACGCCTCCTCCACATACGTGACTACAGTGATGCCCCGCATAGCGAGGTTAATCCGTTCTGGATTAACCTTCGCTATGGGAAAACATCGTAAAATGGATAAAAAACCCCAATTGGAACGCATTAAAGAAAGTTTAATGCGTTCCAAATGGGCCCAAAACTCACCGTTCTCCGATGTTTTCCCTTGTTCCAGCGGCCATCTTGGGTGTACTGGCGGCCATTTTTTGTTCTGGCAGCCATGTTGGGTGTACCGGCACCCATTTTTTTTTTGTTCCTTGTTCCAGCGGCCATGTTCCAGCGGCCATTTTTGTTCCGGCGGCCATCTTGGGTGTACCAGCGGCCATTTTTGTTCCGGCGGCCATGCTGGGTGTACCGGCACCCATTTTTTTGTGTTCCGGCGGCCAGGAAATGAAATCCACATCGCAATGCGGATTCATCGTTCAACGGTGCACTCGTTATACGAGGCACCACTCTACAGCTTATAAAGGTACTTTGAGGGCGACAGCCCCCCAGAATCCCTCAACCAGCAGAGTCACTGGTTAGGGGATTCTAAGAGCTACAATCTGAAAAAAAGGAACTTTCTCAAATTCTCGGTATCACTTACTTCTGAATCCTGCAGGACAACAGAAGTTTCTCCCTACCTGGTAGTCCAAAGTGCCATTCTCATGGAGCGTGAACTTGGCAGATCCTACGGCTCCCGTCTGGGTGGCCGTCAAGGCGTCTCCTCCACAGAGCACACTCTGTAGGGCTGGGAGAAAGAGAAGAGAGCATGCGCACGATGAACGCCATAGCAAAATGTATAACGAGCCAAATCCATGCAAGGATATCATCAGTGACGGGGGACAGCAATTGATCAGTTTAAATGAACAGCTGCAGGACGGTCAGAAGTTCAATAGGTAATGATGGTCATGGTAACATAGCTTTGCTGAGTCAGGCCAAAATTCCTCTAGTCTTGTGGTTTCCCAACTTTTGGTCACCCAGGTGTTCTTGGACTGCAATTCCCAGAAGCCTTCACCCCCAGCTGTGCTGGCTGGGGTTTCTGGGAGTTGCAGTCCAGCTGGGTGACCCAACGCTGGGAACCACTGGGTTAGTCAAAGGGTCATTGAAAGACTAGAACTCAGAAAACAAATTATTTTTTCTTCTTTTTGCACTAGAATTCTCAGAATCCCAAGAGGCCATACTGAAGTGGGAGTCAAAAAGAGCAACATTTCAAAGTTCTGAAACAGACCTCTGCTTTCTGAATTGCCATGGCATCATAGCCAACAGCCAGTCCAAACCTTGGAAATCCATAGGCATTTTGGCATGTCAGTGGTGGGGGGGAAGCTTGTCTCTTCTGGACTCAGAACTTGGAAAAGTTACTTCTTGGACGGAAGTTCCTGGAATCCTTCCCGCCAGCGTGGCCATGGCTGGCTGCAGGATTCGGGTGCGTGTGCGAAATTCCCAAAAGTAACTTCTCCAACCTCTGCCTTGAAGAGACCACCAATTTTCCTCAGTTTTTCCTGTTGTTTCAGGTCCACAACCAGTCACACAACTTGAGATGGGCACTGGGACGCAGTTCTGCAGATCAGGCCCACAAGTGTTGCGCGGGCACCTTGGATTCTGTGCCCAGCCTCCTTCCCCAGGTGGGAAGAGATGGGGGCACGGGGTGCCCGTGCAACCCATGTGGCCCTGATCCGCAGAACTGCACCCAAACGCCATCCCGGGATAAGTGCTCATCTCTGCACAGAGCTTATAAAAACCAAGCCCAGAAAAGACAAGACGTAACTGCCTTTGTTTTGGTTTCATCAATATTAGTACTGCAGGGAGTATATCCCGCCGCTGCCACCACTCAGCATCACTCACTGTCACAACTTCTCCTTGTCGTGATCCGTCCAGCCAGCTGGTGCTGGGACCGACCCTCCACCTCCACCGAAATCCTCAGTTGTCCCTGAGCCAGCCACAGCATCTCTCGACCTCCCAGTCCGGTCAGCACTTCTGCAAAGTCAGAGGCCTGGGGTGGTAAATGAGGAGAAAAGGGGGGCAGCGGACAGCAGAAACCCCATTAAGTTCACGCTGAGAGCAGCAGGGAGAGAGAGTGCAAAGTGTCTGCGTCATTAGGAAGGCTGGGAAAATCCATTCTTCCAAGTTTATTTTTAATGAAGAAAAAGGGCAAATTACCTGCAGGGTGATGTTGGCCACCACTTCCCTCAGGACTCTGTCCTGGTGCAGGATCCGCACTCTCAGGGGGAGCCAGGAGGATTCTGGGGGAGGGGAAAGACGAAAATAAAGCCAACCCACATAGCATGTCAAATGGCAATGCCTAGAGGTACCCAAAGTAACTTCTCCAACCTCTGCCTTGAAGAGACCACCAATTTTCCTCAGTTTTTCCTGTTGTTTCAGGTCCACAACCAGTCACACAACTTGAGATGGGCACTGGGACGCAGTTCTGCAGATCAGGCCCACAAGTGTTGCGCGGGCACCTTGGATTCTGTGCCCAGCCTCCTTCCCCAGGTGGGAAGAGATGGGGGCACGGGGTGCCCGTGCAACCCATGTGGCCCTGATCCGCAGAACTGCACCCAAACGCCATCCCGGGATAAGTGCTCATCTCTGCACAGAGCTTATAAAAACCAAGCCCAGAAAAGACAAGACGTAACTGCCTTTGTTTTGGTTTCATCAATATTAGTACTGCAGGGAGTATATCCCGCCGCTGCCACCACTCAGCATCACTCACTGTCACAACTTCTCCTTGTCGTGATCCGTCCAGCCAGCTGGTGCTGGGACCGACCCTCCACCTCCACCGAAATCCTCAGTTGTCCCTGAGCCAGCCACAGCATCTCTCGACCTCCCAGTCCGGTCAGCACTTCTGCAAAGTCAGAGGCCTGGGGTGGTAAATGAGGAGAAAAGGGGGGCAGCGGACAGCAGAAACCCCATTAAGTTCACGCTGAGAGCAGCAGGGAGAGAGAGTGCAAAGTGTCTGCGTCATTAGGAAGGCTGGGAAAATCCATTCTTCCAAGTTTATTTTTAATGAAGAAAAAGGGCAAATTACCTGCAGGGTGATGTTGGCCACCACTTCCCTCAGGACTCTGTCCTGGTGCAGGATCCGCACTCTCAGGGGGAGCCAGGAGGATTCTGGGGGAGAGGAAAGACGAAAATAAAACCAACCCACATAGCATGTCAAATGGTGATGCCTAGAGGTACCCATGGCAAGAGGAGAAGGGGACGACAGAGGACGAGATGGCTGGACAGGGTCATCGAAGCGACCAACATGAATTTGACCCAACTCCGGGAGGCAGTGGAAAACAGGAAGGCTTGGCGTGCTCTGGTCCATGGGGTCACGAAGAGTCGGACATGACTTTACGACAACTAAACAATAAAAGGTATCCATCTAGCCAGATCTTGCTGACCTCTAGAGACGGGACTTTTAGTATTCATTTCTTGGTCTTATTTATAGATCACCTTTCTCCTGATAAGGGGATTCAATGCAGCTCACGGCGTTTAAACAGCAGCATTAAAAACACCGAGGACACCTCTTTTTTGGCTTAATTCTGCTCTTCCATTCCCTGGAGGATGCAGGTGGATGATGGTGGTTGGAGTCCTAGCCAATCCCAAACTCCCGTCCCTGCTGGGCTCCCCTGCGCAAGCGTGCAGCTGTCTCACCTCTTTCTTGACCACTAAGGGTGCCTGCCCAAACATGGCACCCTTAGAAAGGCCATACTACAACTCTCATTTTCCCCAGCCAGTAGATTATGGGGACTGTAGTATATGACATACAGAATCATAGAAGGATGGTGTTGGAAGGGGGCCTATAAGGCCATCGGGTCCAATCCCCTCCCTGCTCAAGGCAGGAATCGGGACATGTCAAGGATATTTGGTGAAGGAAGGCCACCCAGAAACTTTGTACATCATCCTTCTTACATTGGGTTGGCTAAATCTGCAGGAGATCATAATGCTAATTGGTAGCAGAAAAGAGACTTCTTCCCAGCTGCACAGATATTATGAGAACCAACCGAAATGTGGGATAGGATACTCTCTCTCTCTTTTTTGGCTGGAACGAATGAGGACTTTTTGAAAAAAAAAAACACCTGCACCTGGAACTTGAACATCTGCCATTAAAACATTAAAAAAGAAAGATTAATTTTTATGGTACAATACAGGGAATCAATGGTTTTTAAGACACTCCTTATCAATATAGGTATTACTTTTTATTTTAATATCTCCTTTTTTTGTCCCTGCATAACGTTCTAAATGGAGTCTATAAGTCCTGCAGATGTTTTCCTGCAATGTGTTTCATTCCTCTGTTTTATTTCTGAACGTGAGCCCAAACGATGAGGGGGAGAACCTCATCAAGATCTCATAAACAATCTCAAAGCATGATTTCAGGGATCAGTGAAAAAGTGAAAGGACAGATTTATGGTTTTTCCGACTTCATCTGGGACTCAGGTTGAACTTCTAGATATTGGGGAGAAGGATGGTTCCCCACCAAAAACCAGAGAACAAAAAGATATTGTTGAAAACTCTTGATCAACTGATTAATTAGCACAGGACCAATTTCTAACAGGGATAATTTCCCTGTAGGCCTAGTAAGATTGAACCAATGAGAGCGTGGGAAAACTCTGAAAACTGTAGAGACCATACAAATTTGGGGGTAAAAGGAGAAAAATTAGTCGATGGTGGAAGGGCTGGTTTTCAGTTTTTATTCAGTTTTGAAGTTCGGGGTCTGCAGCTTCTCAAGATACACAGAGAGGGGTGTTTTACTCCCTGAGTTTTCAGCTCCATTTCTCAGTTTCAACAGCTTACAGTAATGGTCTTTGCTCAAATTTTGAACATGCACGCTTTCTGAAACGATAAACTAGTTTTCTTGTGAATTCAACTTTGTGGTTGAATTCTGCAACAGGCTTTTATGAGTTTGCTCTCCTGATTATTCTCAATTTTGGGAACTGTTTTTTTGGAACCAATTTTTAAAACTTTTGCTGGCTCGCTGGATTCCTGAACTCTCCACTGGAGAGGTGAACATGCCTTTCTCCTCGTTTTACTAGGAATTCAGAAAACTTTGCTAGAGTGGATGGGATGCTGAAACTGACTATTTAATACACTTTCCTGCATTCTGTTGACATCGTCGTCTGGTGATAGATGTTAAGAGGCTATCATTTACTTCTGCGCTCATTTAATGATTTTATTTGGATATGTCATGAGAAGACAGAACTGGCTGGAAAAGACAATACTGTTTGGGAAAGTGGAAGGCATTAGGAAAAAAGGAAGTCTGAGCACATGAGATGAATGGATTCAATAAAGACAGAATTGTGTGATCCAGTGAGACTCACCCACCACCAGTGGGGTGGATTTCCACCACTGCCTTAATGCAGACCTGGGCAAAGTGCGGCCCGAGGGCCACATACGGCCCACGAGCCGCTCCTATCCAGCCCATGGACAGTTTTGAACATCAAAACCATTTATAGCTTTTTGTCTAAAGTTGATCAGTTGCTTATCTTTAAAATACCGCAAAAAAACTCTTTATTATTTGTGAAGATTAACCAGTTTAAAATAAAAAACAATGAATCATAACATCACTGTTTCATTTGATTTTTAAGTAAAGTTGGTTCGGCCCCCGAACACAGTTCAAGTTTTTCATGTGGTTCCCCAAAGAAATTAATTGCCCACCCCTGCCCTAATGTTTTGCATGGGTTTTTGATAAAAACACCCTAACCTGAACCCCTCAAACTAGGCCAGTTATTAGTCTTGGGGAAGGTTTTCAAGCCTCCTGCAACATCCTCCCACTCACTGCCTCCCTCTGCACCTTGCTTACTTTTATCTGCTGACTCCAGAAGCCCCCTGGTCACCAGGACAAAATGCAGGTTGTTCTCAGTGTCGCTCAGCGTGAGCATCGCGATGCCCCCCATGCCAGGATGGGTAGGGTCCACAGATGTCAGGAGAGCACTGAACGTTTCTGAAACAGAGAGGAGAGCATGTTGTGCTGCAGGGCCAGACGGGTGGACAGAATGGGCATCCATCCAGGTAACCAAGCATCAAGGAAGTAGAAGAGAAGCGGGCAGAAGGAGTTCAGGCCCTTGATGATACCACTGAGTCACAACCCACTGTCTCCGAGGGCCCATACCCTTGAAGTCACCTGTGCTCTGAGGATATGCAGCTTGCCCAAGGCAACACAGGCTGGCTCTGCTGGGATGCAGAGTGGGGGACCAAAACTTCCAAACTCTGGCTCCCTGGCCAAATACCTAAACCACTGGACTATGACCGGACAGATTGTCCTAGCTTGTGCCAGGAAACATAACCCCACTCATGGCCACTCAAGGTCCAGGTGATCACAGCTGGCCCCTCTTTCAGGAGACATGGTGGAGATTCAAACACCGAACCCCTAATTCCTCGGGCTGGTGCTTTAAGCCTCAACTGCACCACATTGGCAGTCCTTCAGCCTTGTGTATTGAGTTTTGGAAGATCTATAAAGATCTCCCACTCTCGTAAGCTGCTTCATGACAAAAATATCAGGCGATGGGCCAGTGGGTATGCTGGGGATGAGTACTAGAAGAACCAGGACGGGTCCCGAGGAACGGCAAGATAAACCAGACTATTCTGATGTTCAAGATCAGCACACAAAATATGTGTTAACCTGTGTCTTCAGCAGTGTCTGTAGAACCAGAACTTGGATATGTGTCAAGGAACAGCGATTAATATTATTTATTAATTTTATATCCCACCATTTTCCTAAGGAAATCCCGGCAGATTATTTTGCTTCCCTCTTCACGTTATCGTCAAAACAACCCTGGGAGGTAGATGAGGTGGAGACGTCCTTCTGGACCAAGTCTACCGGGGAGTTTGATGGCTCAGTGGGTAAGCGAATACTTGGATATGTGTCAAGGAACAGCGATTAATATTATTTATTAATTTTATATCCCACCATTTTCCTAAGGAAATCCCGGCAGATTATTTTGCTTCCCTCTTCACGTTATCGTCAAAACAACCCTGGGAGGTAGATGAGGTGGAGACGTCCTTCTGGACCAAGTCTACCGGGGAGTTTGATGGCTCAGTGGGTAAGCGAATGTGGATCTCAGATGAGGTGGAGACGTCCTTCTGGACCAAATCTACCGGGGAGTTTCATGGCTCAGTGGGTAAGTGAATGTGGATCTCAAGGTCCCCCCCTTTGATGCTCTGGCCACCCAACAGACTGTCTCTCGCACCAGGAATGATGTCAGCTCCATGGCTGAGGCGACTCAAGAGACAGACTCCATCGCTTACCTGCAAAGAGGGCCCGGTGCTTCATAATCTTCCCTTGGATCTCTCCCGCAGGATGTGACCTGGTGACCAGGGATACGCGCAGCTGATCCACCTTCAACAACCGAATGGAAGATTTTTGTAGGTTCCTCCACATACCACAGATCTGAGGGGAGGTCAGGGTGGAAAGGGGCAAGAAAGGACAAGGCGGTTTATCAAGCCGTTTGTAAGTGGAGCATTGCAAAACCCACAAGATCAGATGCCTGTCCAGTGTTCCATAGAGACCCGGATCATTTGGCCATGCATTAAAACCAGGATGGGATGGAAGGAACTTCAGTGTGATGGATGCTTGGGAGCGTATTGTTTGCAAGAGCATTCTCCCTGAATATATCCTGCCCAAGCACTGAGATCTGCCAGGGAATCCCTCCTCCATGGGGAGCAAGCACAGGCTGAAATCCTGTTGTGCAGTTACACAAACAACGTAACTTTTAGATGTGAATTGCTGTAAGTTAAGAAATCTTCCTAGGCATTACCTGTTGCACACCAAATCATGCCACTCAATATGCAACAGATAATGTATTTCGGGGTTTTTTCACTTAGGGCAGTTCACGCCTGCAAGTTGCATAACTGTGCAACTGCATTTCAACCACAATGTGGAGATATAATATCACAATGTGGAGATATGGGGTTTTTCTCTTTTGGATCACTGTGGCTCTGGAATGCATTCCCTTTGGAGATCTGCTCTGCACCAACATGACCCTCATATGGGGTGCCAAGTGACAAGCTGCCTCTTCACTGCAGTCTTTCAAACCTATTAATCACAGGCTGGCTATTTAGCTCTGCTTTAGTGCATATGGTCTCCATAGCTTTCATTTTTCTAAAAAAAATCTTTAAATTATTTTAACTACAGTAAGTAAACATACGCCCCATCTGTAGGACCATTATCAGCGGATTCACTTATCTCCTACCTGGAAACATTAAATAAAAGAACCTCAGAAATATGCAGTTAATATATTTTTCTGTGGTGTCGTTACCAGAACTGGACAGAAGAGGGAGCAAGAGACCATGCTATATAAAGGGTTCACTATTATCCGTGGCTTCTGCAGGGGGTCTTGAACGAATTCCACATGGATAATATGGTCCTACTGTATTCTAAACTGTTGTTCTATATTGTTTAAAATGTAGTGGTGATTAGAGATGGTATACGAATACCCCCGTCTCTAATGGTGATTTAAGGCTGGTAAGCCAAGCTAAGAACCTTGACTAAGATGTTGGATGTGAATGTTTTAATAAATACATGGAATAAATGGGGGCGCCCAAGGATCCAGTTGGTTTTGGATAATAATATTCTGCCATACAGCTCTTCAGTCCACAATTATGGCAACTGTACAAATACAAGATGCGCTGTCTCCCTCCCTCTCAACATGATGACTCTTTGCAGTCCTCCTCCAGAAATTCAGAAATCACACCACACAGAGAGGACAACCGAATCTTGGCCAACTCACCATGTTCTCCTGGGAAGAGATGCCTTTTTGCACAGGGTGCTCAAAAAGGATGCCCCCGTCGGGATCCGTGAAACGGACTCGGCTCGGCTGCCCCAGCCTAGGCGAGGAGAAGTGGGGAGAATCAGTAGAGCTGGACGAACAGATAACGGGAACATGATTTCCCACCTCGGCCACAGAGATGCTGCTAAGCAGCCTTGAACTAACTTTAGTTCAAGGTACGGACTCAACTAAAGAGTCCGTACCTTCTACAGCTGGGGAAAGTCCAGAGTGGCCCACAACATGGCCACGAGGCAGCCCCTCCTAAAATGTCAAAGGTTTTGTTGTGGTTGAAAAATGGTCAGGTGTACCTTCTAGCTAGCAGATGCAACTGACCGTTGAAGAACAGTTCCAGACCTGCCATAAATCTGTAAAATGTTGTTTCCCCTCAAAAACCAGAAATGACCTTCCGGGTGGATCTGCTTTGGAAAGAGAGCATGCAGAACCTACAGCTGCTATAAGAAGAGATTAAAAGGTCCCCAGGCAGTCAATCACAATTCTTAGAAGACACAACCCGCCATTTTCAGATAGGCTTTTTGCCCCCAATCTGAGGTGTCTGGTTGAGGCCTCCTGAGGTCCCAAATACAGCCGCTTCACTCTCTGGAACTATGAAAATTGATCACCCTTGTTCTACGTACACTGAGGCACAATAGTTAACAGTATCTCCAAAACGCTTTTTAAAAAATTATTATTTTGGTCCAAAGAATGCAGAAATGGTCCACTGTCCATGAGTGCGCACAGCCTGTGTCGTCACGCTGATCGTTCGGAACTGTGCGGAGTGTTTGGACGTGGCTGGTTTGCAGCTCTCATAGGGCTTATCCCGGTGGTTCCCAAACTTGGTTCCCCAGATGTTCTTGGACTAAAACTCCCAGAAGCCTTTGCCACCAGTTGTACTGGCCTGGATTTCTGAGAGTTGTCACCCGAGAACATCTGGTGGACCCACGGTTGGGAAGCACTGACTTATCCAATGGAACTGATGGTGAAGCATGACAGACGCTGCAGTCCAGCCCCCTCAGAAATACAACGCTTTTACAAATATAGAGCCTTGTGGCGCAGTGGCTGAACTGCTCTGCTACAGCCAAAACCGTGCTCACAACCTGGGGTTCAATCCCAGGTAGCTGGCTTGAGGTCCCATTTTTCCAAGCTTGGTAATGAGTATCCAGCTTGCTGTGGGGAGGGGGGCGACAATGTGCACCCTGCATTGTTAACTTGTAATCTGTCCAGAGAGTGCTTTCGTTGAGCACTAGGTAAAGATTCCCCTTGACATTTAGTCCAGTCATGTCCGACTCCGAGGTGGTACCTATTTATCGACTCATATTTTTACATGCTTTCGAACTGCTAGGTTGGCAGGAGCTGGGACAAGCGACAGGAGCTCACTCCGTCGCGTGGATTCGATCGTACGACTGCTGGTCTTCTGACCCTGCAGCACAGAGGCTTCTGCGGTTTAACCAGTAGCGCCATCACGTCCCCTTCTTTAAGCATTATCTAAGTAGCATGCTTTTTCCTCAGCCTTACTTGAAAGCAACAACAGGACTTCAGTTCTAAATTACTTAAGGCAGGCGGTTGGGTATAGGACCACAATCTTACGGATGCGTACAAATGAGTCAACATAAATTAGGACTTTCGTAATCACTGTGTGATCTTCTAGCTTTTGCCTGATGTGCACCCAAACAAACTCAGGTTGCACACTGAGTCACGCATCCAGGTGCGTGACAGAAGGACGTCGTTGTTGTTTAGTCGTTTAGTCGTGTCCGACTCTTCGTGACCCCATGGACCAGAGCACGCCAGGCCCTCCTATCTTCCACTGCCTCCCGGAGTTGGGTCAAATTTATTCTGGTAGCTTCAATGACATTGTCCAACCAGACAGAAGGACAGAAAACTGCAAAAGATACCCTTGCATGGTTCCTCTTATGCAGGTGATCATTTATAGCAGGATTTTTACACCATAACATGGTTAAAATTACCTGTCTTGTTCACATTTTTGGTTTTAATGTGTTTTATCATCCACTTTTAACAAAATGGTGTGAGTTTCATATCAGGGCAGTGGAAGCAAACTCCCATTTTATTCCACTGCGTGTGACTGTGCCATGATTTAAAGGAGTTTAAAAATGTGAATCTGTATAATCTCAGAGTAATTCTGTTTCTCATCTCCACTGGCAAACGGCCCGCTCACGTATCAAGCACAGAGACACAGTCGTAAAGCGAAGAATGATGAGGGGCTCAGAAGAAATGTTTAATCATGGCCTTCATAACTGAAGTTAATATACAATCCTGTTCAAAGTGGAGGCGTGAAAACAAATTGTATAAAAATCCCATTTACTGCATACAACTGCAAATGTTCTCTTAAAAAAAAATCAACATTTAAAGGCTCTCTTTCAAGACCCCTCACTTCACAGAGGTGTTTTTTTTTAAAAAAAAGACCAAATGTGGAGAGCCCTACAAACAGAATACACCACCTAAAAGACCATGGTATATCTTAGGGAGCCTCCTGATGCAGTAGTTAAACTGCAGTACTGCAGTCAAGACTCTGCTTATGACCTAAATTCAATCTTAGTGGATTCAGAGAGCTGGCTCGAGGCTGACCCATCCTTCCAAGGCTGGTAAACTGAGTACCCAATGCATTGGGGGGGGGCGCTGCAGGGGCTATGTGGAGTCTATGCAATTAAAATTGTAATTCACTCAGAGAGTGCATGAAGGGCTACGGGGTGGTTATTAGGGGCCAGTCCCCTCTCAAACAGGACAGATGGCCACTCTGCCCACAGCCTGTTGACACCTTCCAAGGTTGGTAAACTGAGTACCCAATGCATGGGGGGGCGCAGGGGCTATGTGGAGCCTATGCAATTAAAATTGTAATTCACCCGGAGAGTACATTAAGGGCTATGGGTGGTTATTAGCGGCCAGTCCCCTCTCAAACAGGACAGACGGCCACTCTGCCCACAGCCTGTTGATGGTGGACTTCTAACGGGCAAATTGAGATGCTTTTCCCTTGCCCGGCCTGGAGAGAGAAAAATAGAGAGAAAGAAAAAATGTGTGTTTGGTCTCATCCAGGAGCATAACAGCCTCTGTGGCCTGTTTCTCGTTGGGGAGAACACATTTTCAGAAATTAGTCATTGCTCGGCTATGCAAAGGTCTGGAACAAGAGGAGAACTTGCCTTGTCAGAGTGGCGTCTGGGTACAGTTTTTTTCTCTCTCTCTCTCCCTTACGCTCTACCCTGGAGCAGGCCAAAGGAGGACGCTTTTAACCGACAGAGGAGAGCATGATTGATTGCAACTCCCCGGAGCCAGGCCCCAGAGCAGAAAGGAGACCCCCACTGACCTACCCAGCCTTCAGCTAGCAGAGGGAGGCAAGTCTGGCCTGGGAACATGAGGACGCTGAAATTGTTTATTGGATACTTTCCCATTTTTATCCCCCCCCTCCCAATTTGTTTTAAATAAAATATAATCATAACTCTGACAGAAGACACATTTCTGCCAGGGATGTCATCCACCGCAATTTCCAAACCAGGATTCGCCGGCGTCTGTTCGGTGGTTTCGTAATGATATTCGAGACAGACTGCCTGTCAGCCTGATCCAATACAAAACTCGAGAAACAGAGAACGGGGCGGTGGTGGGGGTTGTTTCGAAAAGCAGTGGGACATCAAATATCTGAACCCGTTTCCAGTTACAGACACAATGGTCGAGATCCTCTTACCGATCACAGTAACTCGCAGCTAGAGTTGGCCTATTGAATCAGCAGCAATTTGTTGACACAACTCTCCCATTGTTATAATAACCTTTGAACTATAGAGCTGGAAGGGATGCTATGCATCATCAAGTCCGGCTCTGGCCAAGGAGGCCCAGTGGGGTATCGAATTCCTAAGGAGAGCATCCGGAATCCCAAGGTAGCTATCCAGCAATTCAAGTTCCATTGATTCAACGGGCCGACTCTAGTGGCTACTTAATACGCCGAGCAACAGGATTTCAATCAATGTCGGCCGTGCTATAGTCTCACGATGGGCACCAGATAAAATTAGTATCATGCTCAGAAAATCACAAAAATCACAGAATTTTAAACAACGGACAGGGTTCCAAAGGTCACTGAGATCAGTGCCCCACCAATGCAGGAATCAACAGCTAAAGTGACCATCCATGGTGTGAAAACCTTCAAAAAAAAGAGGTGAATCTGCCCCTTCTGAGCTAGTCTACAGCACTGTCCAACAGCTCTTATCATCAGCAAGTTCTTCCTAATGTTTAGTCAGAATCTCCATTCTTGGGACTTGAATTCCCTGGTTCAGGGACTGCCCTCTGAAGCAGGAGGGTAAAAAATCCCCAGTCTTTCACATAACATCCCTTCCAATATCTGAAAGTGGCTACCATCATCATCTTTCCATCTCATCTTCTCCATTGCCCTCAAGCAAACCTGGTATAGTTTGGTTTCCACACCTCTCAAAGTATCCTTTTCTTTTCTCTGGGCATTATTCATAGAATCAAAGAGATCAACCTCAGAGATGATCTACTCCAGTGGTTCCCAAACTGGGACATTCTTGGGCTGCTACCCCCAGAACCCCTTGCCAGCGGAGCAAAGGCTTCTGGGAATTGCAGTCCAAAAACATCTGGGGACCCAAAGTTGGGAACCACTCCTGTTTATTGTAGGCACTGCAGAGTTGGACCATTTAATTATCCAGTCTCTGCTTAATACCTCCACTAGGGGCCCTGAGCTCACCAGCCCCCGAGATGGTCTTTTCTAGTACTTAACCGATAGTACTATCCAGAACTGAGTCCTAGTATTCATGCAAAATTGTGTCTTCCTACAATGTTCCTGCATGGGTCGTTTGAAGCAACAGGGAAAAAGTTTTACTGCCTTCTTCTACTGCATCTCTCCTTAAATTTCTTACACCTAGATATTATCAATAATATTATTCACTTTTTACCACCTGCCCTGAGCATTTCATTGTCTTTCCCAAACTAAACAAAAAGTTTTGATGAGTATGTGGTTTTTTAAAAAATACTTTAATTCCTTTCCTCTGAATTGAAAGTCTGTGCCTATTTCAACGGTATGTTTTCAGCTGTCAACACTTTCTATAAAGCACCCGCTGTTTTGCGAACCCATCATTTCTCCATAACATGCCACAAAAGTGTCACAAGTGTGTGAATTCTCAAGAGGAAATGTGCTTCCTATAACAAGTGTTAAGTGACACAAAAAGGTTATTTTCCTTAGGATTGTTGAACCTCTATGAAAACCTTTCCTGTCCTTCCTTCTCTGCAGTCAAAAAAGGCAGGTCAGCAGTTTTAGACCCTGGACAAAATAATCTTATACTAAGAAGACTCTTTTAGATGGCTATCTTCTTATTTCTGCAAGAAAGCACTTAGCTAATGCTTATCTACTATTGCTCTGCCATTCCACTATATTCCTGAGATTTTGTGGCAACTCCCCCCCAACAAAATAATTGCTATTCCTTCAAAAATTCTGCACGTTTAGTTATGTCTTTTCAACCCACTTTCAACCAAACCATCATGATTAAAACAATAACATCAGATTTGCCTCTTCTCCCCTCATTTACTCTGGACCGTTCACCGTTTTGTTCAAGAAAAGCATAAAAATCTTTTAAAAGTAAAAAGGCCTGCTCAGCTGCTCCAACTATAAAACATTTTATTATGATGTTCTTATTTAAAGCATGTGTTCACCACCCTTCTGACAAACAGGGATCCTGAGATGATTTACAATAGATTAGAACCATCAAGAACAGATTAATAACATTCAAAGCAGATTGAAAACATTGAAGAGCCAATTGAAAACTAAGAACATGCAAAGCAAATGCAAAACATCCTAAAGCAGGTTTAAGACATTGAGAAACAGATTTTAAACAAACAGATCTGAAACAAAGGAGGTGAGGCTGAGGAGCCTGACGCCGAGGGAGGCCCGGAAGGAGAAGACACGAAACCGGGCCTTCTCGGCGGTGGCTCCTCGCCTCTGGAACAACCTCCCTCCGGAGATTTGCACGGCCCCTACGCTGGGTGCCTTTAAAACCCAATTAAAAACATGGTTATACATCCAAGCCTTCCCTCCAGCCAATTCTTGAATTCTTTCTTTATTTTTCCCCTATTTTATTTTTTTATTTTTATTGCGATTGCTATTGAACGATTATGCACATTCTTGTATTTTATTGTTTTATTTTGTATTGGAAGCCGCCTAGAGCGGTCTGGTAATCCATATAGGCAGGGTATAAATAAATAAATAAATAAATAAATAAACAAACAAACAAACAAACAAACAAACAAACAAACAAACAAACAAACAAATAAATAAATAAATAAAGGAGGAAGCAAAAAGAGGATGCCAAAGGAAACAATATAAACCCAAGCATCCAGGTGCGGATGCTGGGCCCGTTTGCCACCGATTCCATCATCTACAGCTCTCTGGGTCATTACCGGAGAGATGGAGATTTGTCTGCTGACTCTGGATCTTTCCCTAGGGTTCACCTTCTGTAATGTGGAGAAGGGAGGGGCTGCCATCTTGTCCTCTGCCGCAGGCAGAAGACTATTTTGGGATAGCTCCGTCTAGCTCTTATTCTAAATCAGACTGACCGCCATTTCTGGTTAAGGAGTGGGATACAGATACACCATACGCATACGCACCCTGGTTTCTGAAAGCCACTTCGGCTCCTCGGAAGGTATATCAGGTCGTGCTTAAGGACTCACCTACCTCTCGTAATAAATGGAGAACAGCAAGTGAGAGCGTAGAAGGGTGAATCTGCCTTTTGCCACCCCGCTGGTTGCAGGTGCCCATGGCTCCAGACGACCTGTCAGCAAGGCCACAAATTCTGGGAAAGAAAAAAAGGGACCCCCATTTAAGACAAAAGCAATGCAAGACTGTCTGGGAAGTGAACAAAAAGCCTGATTCCCCCTGATCCAAAGTTTAGCATCTTTAGAACACGGCAGTATAATATCATACAACAATGTCCACATACACAGATTTGAATACCTCACCATATCTCTGCCCTAAACACAGTCCTCTGAACAATTCTCCTCTCCCATGATTTTGTTGTTGTTTAGTCCCTTCATGACCCCATGGACCAGAGAGCACGCCAGGCCCTCCTGTATTCCACTGCTTCCCGGAGTTTGGTCAAATTCATGCTGGTCGCTTCTGTGACACTGTTCAGCCATCTCGTCCTCTGTCGTCCCCTTCTCCTCTTGCCTTCACACGTTCCCAACATCAGAGTCTCCCACGATACATATTCTGAAATACATATCTCATATCCCATGGGAGTGTTCATATACCCAAGTGTCCAGATGCGGATGCTGGGCCCGTTTGCCACTGATTTCATCATCTACATGTACCATGGTAAGACAAATATACCATGTACCATGGTAAGACAAATATCCACATGATGCCCCCCAAAAAAGAATATGGCATTAAATACTGGTTAAAATCCTGTTGCTTAACATAGCAAATTGCTCTAGAGTAGGCCCGCAGAATCCATGGAACTTACAGAGAAGCGGATTCAACGGCCCTATGTTTTACTATGCTAAACAACAAGATTTTGTCCATTGTTAACACTGTGCCTTAATTGTGCATCAATACAGCAACCACATTGATTTATTCCCCTGACTATCCCCATAGTTCCATAAACTCCAGACAGGCAAGGATGGTGAATTTGCTCTGGATTTTAGTCTGAACTTTGCA